CTGCCCCGCCGTGCCCACTCGAGGCCACCTGATGCTACTGCCAGACCGCGGCTAGGCCTGCGCCCGCAAGTCTGGTCGAGCAGCCCTTGAAGCCTCGAGTAGCTTCGTCGTCCCACATCGTACTTTGTCTTCATGCCACGTCATCCTTTATTATCCAATAATAGTACTACAACTTGTGTAATTTGTATTTTCTTATTTCTTTTCTTTATTTATTTTTAGATTAGAATTTAGGAAGTTTATAAATACTCTAAGGGATATTATTTTTCCCTCATACCTTTTTATGCTTTTTGTTATTTTACGTTCTTTTGAGTTTTCTCTTGAACCCTAGTTTCTCATGGCATCTCCATGGATTCTTCCATGGATGATTCTTGGGTTTATTATTTCAAGGTTTTTTAGATTTTAACACCTGCTAAAAACACGAAAATGGTTTTTAACACCTCCAAAAAAAGAAATGGGTATTAACACCATACAAATTTTCAAAAAATTGGTATTACCACCACTTAACGGTTTCCGTTAAAAAATTCCGTTAAATGTGGTCCACAGTGGCACGTGTCACTATTTTATTTGTTTAAAAAAAATTTTAAAAAATTAAAAAAAAAAATTAAAAACCTAAAACTACCCCAGCCCCACCCACCGCGCCACCACCGGCGTCCCCAAACCCACCCCCTTCTGGCGTCCGGCATCCCAATGAATCGCCCGGCGCCGGTGACCCCACCCCCACCACCCTTTCCTCCACCTACGCACCCCAACCCTTCCCTTTCCCCATTTTTGTTCCCGACCACAACCCCGAAACCACCCTAAACGGGTTTTAGGGTTTCGTTTGGGGTGGTAGGGAATCGATTAAGGGAGGGGGAAAGAAGAGGGAGGGCGTTTCCGGGGGAGGAGGAAGGGGAGGAGGGGCGTTTTCCGGGGGAGGGGCATTTAGGGTGGTTTCGGGGTGGTGGGTCGGGAAATGAAAATGGGGAAAGGGAAGGGGTGGGGTGCGTAGGTGGAGGAAAGGGTGGTGGGGGTGGAGTCGCCGGCGCCGGGCGATTCTCTGGGACGCCGGACACCGGCAGGGGGTGGGTTTGGGGATGCCGGTGGTGGCGCGGTGGGTGGGGCTGGGGTGGCTGGGGTAGTTTTAGGTTTTTTTAATTTTTTTAAATTTTTTTTTTAAAATTTTTTATTTTTTAATTTTTTATTATTTTATTTTTATTTTTTGGCCAATAACAAAGCGACACGTGTCTATATGGCCCTAATTAACGGATTTGTAAACGGAATCAGTTACGTGGTGGTAATACCCAATTTTTTTGAAATTTGGGTGGTGTTAAAATCAAATTTTTTTTTTTGGAGGTGTTAAAAACCATTTTCGGGTTTTTAGCAGGTGTTAAAATCTAAAATAACCTTATTTCAATTCATTGAGGTATTTTTTTTATATCTCTTATTTATAATTATGTTTTATTCCTTAGATCTAAGCTAGTTTTAATTATTTCTTCCATGTTTGAGTAGTTTATTTTTAGGGTTTGGGAATCCATGTTTATATTATGAATCTTGATTGATTTTTTTTAATATTTTGATTATTAATTTCTCTAATTGATAGTGTTTTATTGTTAATCTTGCAACCTGATCAATTATTTGATTAATTTTTGTTAATAAGAGTTTGAATTGAAAGATCTTACTTTTAGAGGCTTACCTACAATTAGCAATTCTGATTATGTTAGCGACCGAACTACATTTGTTGAATTGAGAGAGTTAAGACCCGACCGTAGGCTTAGCAATTGCTCTAGATAATTGATTGATTGAATTGTTATTGATATTTGATAGATTTAGAACTATAAGCATGGTGAACCGCAACCCTAGGTCTTTTTATCAATTGTTTTATTCCTATTTTAATTTAGACTACTTTCCTATCCCAATTTCGTGACATAGTTTAGTTTCTCCAATTTCTTAGAGGTTAGATTGAATACCATCTCCCTGTGGATTCGACCCTACTTACCCTACTACATTGTTAGTTGGTTTTGTTAGGAATTTATTTTTGACAGGTGTACGACAACCTATCAGTCAATAACGTTATTTCATGCATCCAAGACAATAGGTTGTGCTATAGAGTATTTAACGAATATGTGGTGCTATTCTACGCACATTACATTGTCAATAGGCCAGGTGGCGTCATTGTGGCCAATTTTCCCAATAAAATTTGATGTTAGGGGTTAGTCTTGAGAGAGACTTTCCTAACTTATGTGTACATTCCTTTTACAAAAAATTATTTATTTATAATGTCATCATCACAACAATTTTACTACCTCTGTTAAGGTTTTTTTTTTTTTTTTTTTTTTTTTTTTTTTTTTTTTTTTTTATTTATAAATGATATTTTGTCCAGAAAAATCATTTATAACAACCTTTTTGTTGGAAAAACCTTATAAATGTATTTTGGCATGGAGAAACCAGATTGTAAATTTTTGTTGTTGAAGACAACCAAAAACTCTAATTACCCTAATTATCCTTTAATTTTCCCTAATTAGCCTTTAACTCTCAATTAATTATTTATATTAATTAAAAAAAATAAAACACCCTACCCCGACCTCAGCCACTCCCTCCCATGCAGCAACCACGGCGGCCGCAAGCGGCGCCGCCCCCTACCACCGGTCGTCTATCTCCCCCTTCCCCTACCTCGCGTCGGCACTGATATTGCCCCTACCCCGGTTCACCTGGAAGTTTCATCTTCCAAAAGAAATCGCACAAACAAATCGCAAATTTCACCGGCAAGTTATCAAAACAAATCGCACGAACTTCGGACCCTTTGAATCTCAATTTTGGAAGAGCTTTAAGCAATTCTAATTAATGAATGTCGAGAATCCTAGATAACGAATCCCTATTCCTTAAATGGGTCGTTGTTGATTGCGGCGGTGATGGTGGCCACTATATTGGGTGGATTTTTTGGGTTGTTGTTTATGAGGGTAGTCACAACGAAGGAGGGGGTCGATTCACCGGTGGAGGTTGGTCGGCGGGGGTGGGGGGTTCTAGGCGGAGGCTGGGGATGGGAACGGAGAGGGGGTTGCTTCCATGGGAGGGGGAGAAGGAGAGGGTGGCTCAGGTGCCTAGTGGTGGTGAGGAGTGGTTTTTGGTTTTTATTTATACATTAACTTAATTATTAAATTGATTATGAGAATTACGGACAATTTGAATAATTAAGGGAAAATTAGAGATTAATTGAGTGATTAGAGATCTCAGTTTGTCTTCAACAAAAATATTTTACAATCTAGCTAAAAATATTTTACAATGTGGTTTTTGCGTGCCAAAATTTTTTTTATAAGGTTTTTTTCCAACAAAAAAGTTGTTATAAATGGTTTTTTATAATAAATTTTCCTTTTTTTTTTACATCAGCACCTCCGCTAAGTATTAGTTGTAACTTTTGAATATTTTATGTCTCACAAATAATAACCAAAAACTGCAACTAATAATACTTAACAGGGTTAGGGCCTGTTCTGATTGACTGAACTGAATAGAACTGAACTAAATATTTTATGAGAGAGGGAAATTAAGGCCTGTTCTCATACGTTTATTTTCTGTTTAGTTTAGTTCAGTTCAGCTCAACTCAGCTCAGTTCAGTTCTAGTTTAGTTTAGTTCAGTTCAGCTCCTAATTTCCTTCTCTTATAAAATATTCAATTCAGTTCAGTTCAGCTCCTAATTTTCTTCTCTTATAAAATATTCAGTTCAGTTCAGTTCAGCTTAATTCAGTTCAGTTCAATTCAGTTCATTTCAGTTCAGTTGAGCTGAGTTCAATCTATGAGAACATACCCTTAGTATATCAAATTCAACATGCAATGTACGAGTAGGTAAGATAACATTCAAATTAAATAATAAGTGAAGGTTTTAACATAAACTCAATTATCATAATCTCATCTAGTTATAGGCCCTGTTGCTCTCCTCAACTTATTATTTTTATTGCATGAAGTAAAAGTATTTTTACTGAACTAAAATTAGTTTTGCTGAACTTAATTAATTTAACTAAACTAAAATTATTTTCTTATTAAAACTTATCTTTACAGATTTTCTATTATATTTTTTTCTGTAAAATTACTGATTTTCTATTAGTTAATTTTTTTTATTGAACAATTATTACTTTTTTACTAAATTAAACTAGTCAAGTTATTTTTATTGAACAATAATTATATATGTTTTACTTAATTAAACTATTTTTACATTTTTTTTGTTTATACTAAATTTAATTAAAATATTTGTTCAAACCCATTGTAGCTTACTTGTGAGTGTCCCACATTGGAGAAATAGGAGAGATATTTCACGTTATAAGGTAGATGAGTATTGAGTACCCCCTACTATTGCCAATTGGTATCAGTATGGAAATTCCTAAGCCTTGTATGTGGACCAAACTCTCCTCCTCCTTGTTTGGGTTGCCCAAACACATTTCATATTGTCTCGAAATTTAACAATATTTTTACTGATATTATTATTTAAGGTGAAGAACACGGGATATTATACTTAAAAGCTTACAAGTGTTATAGAAATAAACATAAAACTAGCAAAAACTAGTCAAGTTAAATTATTCTTAAAAGCTTACAAGTGTTATAGAAATAAACATAAAACTAGCAAAAACTAGTCAAATTAAAATACACTCAAATTTAGAACAAAAAAAGTTTGAAAGGCAACAATCATATAGCTAAGTTTCTATATTTCAAAAAAAATAAAAAAATTTAGCTAGGTTTCTAGGAGAAATAATACACGTTAAAAATTGGCCAACCTTTGGAGAATATCAAATAATTATTTAATTAATTAAAATTAATTAATTAAGAGATTCTGACATGAACCAAGTCACTAATGATAAATATTATTCTTTGCCTCTTTCATTAAACATAAAAACTTTCTGATCACGTAACCTTAATAAAAAAATTAAGGTCAACTCAAACCCTACGTATACATTTCTTGGCGTTTATCATTTTACGCTGCATGCTATCTATATTTCTCTATATATACTACCTTCATATAGCTTCTTATTATCCACTATAATTTTTGTTAAAAAAAAAAAAAAGAACTCTTACAAGTGAGTTCTCTTCTTCATTAAAATATTTATTTTACTATTGATCATAGTTATAATTAATTATATCTAAGGATACTAATTAATCTTGCAATTATGATGCGTTTATTGTTCTTGCTTGCTTGGGTTTTGGTGCTACTAGAATCATCACTGGCTTCGGCAAGCGTTGTGGAACACTCATTTTACGTAATTTTTCTTCTCTATTAGCATAATCTTCACTAGCCACTTTGTATAATCTCGTTTCGATAGGTGGTGTTGATTGGTATGATGGTGTTGTTGATGTTTGTTGAAAGTCTGTTTATTAATATTTCTAATTTTAGCCTTTTATACACGTCTACTTAGTAAAATAAAGGTGGATATAATTTAAAATCTATGCACACTTTAATTTTGTATGTACAACTAGAGCTAAGACTTTCATGATGCCATATAATCCTTAATTTGGTTAAAATATTGTCCACTCCCAAATTAAATTTTATTAATTGATAAACTCATATCATTACTATTAATTACTGTCGTATAATACTGCCATTATGAGTTATTCATGGTAAACTACATGTAACATTATTTTTACCAATAAGATCCTGTTCTGTATTCTTTTTTTAGTTTTCAATCTTTGGTTTTAAATTTTTAAAGGTGTATATACTCTGAGTTGGATTCTATTATATGTATGTGAACGTATTAATCATACTTATGTAGTTATACTAATTATGATTAAATTTAAAAATCGATAACAAAAAAAGTAGAAACAATTCTTTCTAAACTAGTTAACCAGTTGATGGTCATATATGGTGGAATGAAGTCAAGTCCATGCATGCAGTTTTATAGTTGCCTTGTCATGCTAATATGCTATTGCTGAAATTATCATTATATTTCTTATGAAATATCATGTTTAATATTATACAAGTATATTATTAACTTTTTTTTTTAAAAAAAGAGGTATTTTGACAATTACATTTACCTTGAAATTATTTTCCATGTCACATCATTTTCTTGTAAAAAGTTTTCCTTTTAAACAAATAATAATGGAGCCAAAAGAGACAAATTGAAGATGCTTCTCAATTATTCTCTCAAGGAAACATACTCCCTCTATCTATTGAATACTTCGTAATCTATGTTCTTAGATGTTTTTAATCATCTAGTGTAATATATGTTTTCCTTAGTTCGTTGTTAAAAAAAAAAAAAAAACTTCGTAATAGAAAATGTTGATCAAAGATAGTACCTATGCCAAATTTGTGAGATACCAATAAATTTAAATGGATGTATGTAATGCCATAAAATAGTTACATATGGAAGATTATGATTTGGTCTTAAGAAATTATATACAAGTATATATATTTGAATATTAGAATAAGATTAGAATTGAAAAATGTAAGTGATCTAACAACTCTTAATTTATTAACCAAATAAAAAAATAAAAAAATACAAATTGATGGGAAGAATTAATTTTTATATTTCAAGTGAGGAGAAGAGCAGTACTAGTCATAAATTGAGTAAAAACATAAGTTAATAAGTTGATCAAAATTAGTTGAAAGTAACCATAAACAGTTAAGTTGGGAAAATTAAATAGTGAATTACAAAGCTTTTATGAAACGAGTAAAAAAAATATAAATTGAAATTGTATCATATCTTCATTACACTTTTAAAATGATTCATTCACTCATTACGTATTAATAGGGTCAATATACACACACTTCTAGATTAAATTATGCTTTGAATTTTTAAAAAAACATGTAGATAGAAACTTGATTTACTTTTATTAGAATTTAGTTGACACATTAATACTTCAACGGGTAAAATGTAAGGTGTAACTTTCAATCGTACTTTTTAATAGAGAAAGTAATATTAATTTTTTTTTTTTTGAATAATATAAATTGTGTTTGTAGGTGAAAAATGCGACACTGAAAATATTGTGTGAGAAACGAGTAATTACAACAGTGAATGGAAGTCTACCAGGCCCTTTGATTTGTGTCCAAGAGGGTGACACCGTCATTGTTCACGTTGTCAATCAGTCACCCTACAATATTTCAATCCATTGGTAATAATTAAATTAAACTTACTAATCATATACTGTATATTGTGAGCTGCCAGCTTTTAAATTTGTTATTTCAATTCATTGGTCATCTCAAAAATTATATACTTTCTCCGTTTTTATTTACTTGCAACACATCTTTGTGGCACACGTTTTGAGGCCGAGTTTATATTGTAAGTGAACATATGATTCAAATTTTTTTTTACACATTATACCTAACTCTACTCTAAACCATGTGATGTGTTGTGTTAAATTATATTGATAAAATCGCTTGTTTACCTTCACTAGTTATTTTCTAAAACTGCGTGCCTAAAATGTGTGTTGCAAGTAAAAAGAAACGGATTAAGTATATGAGCTTGTCAATTAAATTATCTTCATTATTGTTTAATAATGTAATAAAAAAAAAGAAATAAAGAAAGAGGTAAGATTAGTTACTCAACAATTAAACTATTTGTGAAACAAATAATATTACAAAATATATACTCCGTATCGTATATAACAGCAACAGCAATGCAACTTATCATATCATTCAACGAAATATTAACGACTTATTCTTCAAAAGAAAATAATAACGATTTAAGATGATTAGAAATTAAAACAACTACATCTCTGTCAAAATCATGATTGTATCATAAGATGATTTTTCTTTAATTATATCGTTAATTATTATTTTTTCTTTAACTTAGTTTCGGTAGCATTTAATTTATATTCAAAGGATAGCAAATGATGTACATATGTAGAAAAAGATACAAGTCAAATCATATACTTCGTATATCATGTTGAGATTGAAAGATTTTACTCAGTAAATGTTATTTTTAAATTTATTTTTGTTAGGAATATAAGAAAATATACTACTATCATTCATATATTTTCCTATATTCCTAACAATTTTCAAATTCTGCTTTCGTAATAGGTAGTTAAATACTTAAATCAATTTACTTTTTATTGTATACTTGTACATTGTATGACTTAAACCTTAGCATTTTAATTTATTCCAATGATCAAGTTGTCACATATTACTAATGAAGAACTTGTACGTACAGGCATGGTTTGTTTCAGAAGCTAACTCCATGGGCGGATGGACCATCATACATAACTCAATGTCCGATTCAACCAGGACATAATTATACATACAAATTTAACGTAACTGAACAAGAGGGAACACTTTGGTGGCATGCTCATAGTAGATGGCTTCGAGCTACCGTTTATGGAGGATTCATTATACACCCAAGAAACGGCCTATCATACCCCTTTCCTAAACCACATAAAGAATTTCCTATCATCATTGGTACGTACCTTATATATATGCTCCCTTTATGCGGGATTATTTTTCATGTACAACTTAATTATAACAATAATGTCCTGATCGAGTATTATATTGATAACAATTATTGTCATTTATTACATTTTAATTTTGTTCTGAAAGGAATATGTGTAATATGCCAAAGTTTAGTTGTCAAACTAATAAGTCTTGTACAATAATGAATAAATAGAATACAACTTCGGGGGTTCAAGTCTTGTACAAACTTAAATAACGTCAAATAAAACCCTTTGAATTAGAGAAGTACATGGTTAAAATACTCGATTATGTCATGTGAATGCTAATTTTTGTATAAACTAGTATAGATTTCTAAAGAAAATTTATTATCCTTTTACGAGTAAACAACCTAAGGGAAAGACTTTTAGAAAAATGGGAATAAATACTAACAAGGTTGAAAAGTTGAACAAGTAAATTTGATGTTGATGTGATTATAAGGTTGGCAAAAATAGACCAGAAAATTTAGTACGTGAGCCTGCTTTATTTTTCCCCTCTTTTTACGGAGTATTTTGTTTTGGGAGGTCCAAAACAATCCCAGTACGTAACTCAATTCTTCACATTATGCACAATGTTTTAGTTTTTATTTTATTTTTTTTGTAATAAGTTGGACGTGAAAGTTGAAAGTTATGTTCAAACTAATACCTAGCTACTTGGAGTCTTGGACTAACGAAACTAATTATCTAATTCAAAAATTAATAAGTCCAAATTAAAATAGGAACGCTAGAAATAGATCGAATTTCAACGAGATATATTAATTAAAACAATGCAAGTAATCTATACTCTATGATAATAAATTAATAATAGCCCTTAAGATATGTTTTGTCATCGGTATGATAATGATAATGAGTTTGTATGAATTTTGCAAAGATGCTCATTAGGTTTTATATGAATTTTCGCAACGTATTCATTGCCCTCATGGTAAATTAAAGCAAACTGAAGTATTGGAGTTTAATTATTAAAGGGAAATAGTGTGAAATATGTAGTACGAAGTACATACTTTATGTCCATTCTAAATACTACGATATATTTAGGTTTTGTTCACATTTATTGAACTAAATTGAACTGAATTGATTGGAGCAAACTGAACTGAGCTGAAATGAATATTTTATGAAAGAAGGAAATTAGTAGTTGAATTGAATTGATTGGAGCCGAACTCAACTGAACTGAGCTGAAATGAATATTTTATGAGAGAAGGAAATTCGAAGCTGAACTGAACTGATTGGAGCTAAACTGAACTGAACTGAAATTAAGCTGAAGTGAACAGGTCCTTAATCAAGGTTGTCCAAGTTAAATTTTCAATTAAATTGTACTAATAAGGTCTAATAAATTTAGGTGAGTGAAAAGTAAAAACCGATATATAGGGTGCTTATATAAAAATTTAACTTAATAATCCTTTTTATGATAGAAATTTGAACTTTATAATTGAAAACCGTGTAGATAGAGTGCAAACAGAATATGTTCAACTATTTACAGAGTATGAACATTCATACCAATATGTATAATGAGGTGAGGTAACAGAAATTATATCTTAAAGCTATATATTATTTTTGTTCTTTTGAGATTAACTGCTAATATGTAATGTAATTTATAGATTATAGAATTGTTGATCAAAAGCTAATTACAAATTTTTAACATATATGTTACAGGGGAGTGGTGGAATGCTAATGTACTCGAAGTCGAACAGCAAGGCTTGGCCACCGGAGCAGCCCCTAATATATCCGATGCCTACACAATCAATGGTCAACCTGGTGAGCTTTACGCCTGCTCGAAAAACCGTGAGTTTTTGATATTTGATCATTATTGCTACACTTTACAATTACTTAATTCTACAATTTCGAAACACTAATCTAGTAAAATTCAACATCATTCATGTTAATAATCATCAGAAACCACCAAATTTGAGGTTGTCCAAGGAAAAACCTACTTACTCCGCATTATCAATGCTGCACTCAACAACCAACACTTCTTCAAGGTAGCAAACCACAACTTCACAGTGGTAGCAATCGACGCTGTTTACACCGTCCCGTATGAAACAGACGTCGTGGTGACCGGACCAGGCCAAACAGTTGATGTCCTCATGACAGCCAACCAGCCTATTTCCTCATACTACGCGGCAGCCAAACCGTATGCAAGTGCACCCGGTGTACCATTCGATAACACAACAACAACAGCAATTTTTACCTATGTTAACAGCACACATTCAACACCGGTAATGCCTGCATTACCAGCCTTCGATGACACCCCTACGGCTCATAGGTTTTATTCAAATCTAACCGGCCTTACCTCTGCTCGATTCTGGGAGCCAACGATACTAGATGTCGACGAGCATATGTTCATGGCAATTGGGCTAGGCTTAGTTTCGTGTGGAAAAAACACAAGTTGTTTAGGCCTTTTCAATCAAAGTTTTGCTGCTAGTATCAGCAACTTTTCTTTTCAGTTACCAACAAAGATGTCCATATTAGAGGCACATTACTCTAATGTCACGGGTGTGTACAATACCACGTTACCGGACACGCCTCTTGTGCCATTCGATTATACGAACCCCAACAACAGTCTGAACCGGAACTTGTTGATGACCACGAAATCGACGACTGTGAAGCGGGTTAAGTATAACACTACGATTGAGATTGTGTTTCAGGACACTTCTTTGGTGGGTATTGAGAATCATCCTATGCACATTCATTGTTTTAATTTTCAAGTACTTGCTCAAGGGTTTGGTAATTATGATCCTAATGTGGACCGTCAAAAGTTCAATCTTGTTAATCCGCAAATCAGGAATACCATTGCTGTGCCTACTGGTGGTTGGGCCGTAGTTAGATTCCGAGCTAACAATCCAGGTAACTGAAATTATTTTTACTGATTAAAATTTATTTTACTGCACAGTTACTGAGTAAAATTGTTCGTGTTTTACACGTATAGTTGGCATTATAAGTTGTTCTTAACATGGAATTTTGGTTGAATGTAGGTGTATGGATATTGCATTGCCATCTAGATGTTCATCTAACATGGGGTTTAGCTATGGCTTTTATTGTTGACGATGGCGGCACTCCGGAAACAACCTTACCGCCGCCACCTGCGGACTTGCCAAAGTGTTGAAATCAATAATAATGTGCCCAATGTTTATGTAAATATATACCATTTTTTTTTGGTAAATGATTCATGCAAGTCTTCATTCTTCACTGATTGTTTATGTTACGCAGCATCAATTGTATGTTTGGATAGATCCTTATGTTTTGTGTGTTACATTGTATAATAATTTTGTTCTCTATTGTAACTACATACGAGTGTATAAATAACATTTTACAGTCAATATATAATATTTTGTTGGGCTTGGGTCACCCACCTTGTTAGCTAAGCTGCACGCACACTTCACTCCTACAAATTTTTACCTAAACCCCACGGCAGGGAACACTACCTGCACTCCCTACCCTCCGCGCGTGCTCCGCTCCCGCCGGACCCGCCCCTTTTCATTTATGAATTTCCTGCAAATTTTTATAATATGTTCATTTTTGAATTCGTAAGTGTTCATTTATGTATCATTAGATGTTCATTTTTATAACAAGGAGTTTTTGCTCAAATTATATATATTTTCTGAATTGAATTCTAAGAATTTTCTATTAAAAAAAGGAGAGAAAATTTATTTATAAGGATTACTGCGTTCAAATCATTTTTATTGAAAGAAGCATTGCATCATCTAATGTTCATTTTTATTTATTCGTGTTTCAACAAATGTTCATTTTTGTATCATCAAATGTGCATTTTTGTATCATCAAATGTTCATTTCAAGAGCTATGTGTAAGTTTCATAGTAAGATGTATACTATAATAATACATACGTCTTAGAATTCTACTTATTTAAATAAAGCTTTGTTAAAAAATAATTTCCAATATAAAATAAATTTAATTTAATTACAATAATAACACATTTCTATATAACTATACTATTACATGTAATAATTGTTTCATAAACATGAAAGTGAACCAAATGTACATATGTGTCTTGTTAAATGAACATTTTTTCTTACATTTGATATAATAAAGTGTATATATATTTGTGTGTGTGTGTGTTTTCCATGAAATATATAATATGAGCACAATATGTTTATCGCCTTCAACTTCCTTACTTGATTATCCTGTACAATAAGAGATCGATCAAGTATTTTTTTTTTTTTTAAAAAAATAAAAAATTATAGCAACACATTCAAAACAAAAGTACATTATATATAAGGATTCAAAATTGAACTTTAACACAATAATAATAATTACAAATTTAGAAATGAAGACACTATAAATATATAAAAATATTTCAACATGAAAATGAAAACATATAAAATCTAAATGAACATGTATTAAATTATAAATGAACATTTATTAATATGAAAAAGAACATATATAAAAAAAATTCAAAAGAATATCTACAAATGTAAATCACCATTGAAAATAATCCAATATATCAAAATACAATTTAATATGTATTGATATTAAATGTGAATAAAATACCATAAGATTAAATTATATTTTAAAATAGAATCACCAAAGGTTTATGATGAATAAACAATATGTGATTTATTTCTGAACATTTTTTGACATGTGAATGAACATACATTAATATATGTGTGAATATACACATATCCAAATGAAATCTATGTATCAAATTCGAATAATCATCTATCAATATTAGAGCTAAAATGTATATCAATATTAGAGATAAAATGTATGTAATATAATATTCAAATGACGCTCATGAGCATATAATTTAATATGAAGTTAAACATGTATTATTATAGTCTATGTGGATATTTTCAATATGAGAATGAACATGTACATATTTACATTAAATAAACATATGTTTAAATACTAGTAAACATTCATTAATATGTAAAGATCATACACAAAATTAGGGTAATATTCTCTCAAGAATGAACCCTAGTAGATGTAAGGTGAGAATGTAAATGATCATATACTACTATCATAATGAACATCTATCAAGAAAATAAACATTTACCGAAAATGAACATTTATCGAAAAAATGAACATTTACCAAAAATGAACATTTGTTTAGCAACTATCTTCTCCGATGGAACCTTCAAAGTGTTCTTCTCTGTTTCATTTCTACAAAAATACCACCATATATAGTAGATTTTAGTCTATTTTGCACAATAATAAGTGTATTTATAGTAGATTTTGTTTTAGAATATCAAAACGCAAAAAAATATAAAATCTAGGGTTTACACTCAAAATTCTACTTAAATGAACAAATTTTTACTCTTCTATTTCGGAATTTAGTTGCGATTGACGAACTTCATCTCTAATGTCAGACATTTTTAGATGTTTTGATGTAATTTGCAATAATTTTGAAGCAATTTGTAGTGAGTTTCATGCAAAATTTTGGTTTTGATGTGAGAGAATTTCATGAAAATGAGTTTGAAATGAAGGTTTCAATTTTTTTTCTTTTTTGTATATAAATGTGAGGACTGGGCAGTTACTAGCATTTATCATGGTTAGTGGGTGATAACTGTATGGTTAGTGGGGTGTGGGTAAGGGTTTTATTGTAATTTTTTTTTTTGGGGGGGGGGGGTAGGTAGTTATGGCTACAAGGGGGTGTAGCCATTAGGAATTCCTTCACTCCAAAACCAAATAACATATCCATAGACAAACATAAACAAACAAACAAAGCCCATTACACTAGTTAGTCTCTACTCTCTACTTACATGATCCTTCAAGCTTAATGATTGAGGCTACCCCTTAACCACATATTTCAATCCTTCACTAAGATCTAATGTTTTTATAATGATGGTCAATCACACAAACAAAACATTAATTACAAAATCAATCAAATGAATTCATCCCTAGTCAAAATCATACCTCATACCTAAAAATTTACGAACTTTATTTCCTCACTAAAAAAGACTACTCATAAATCCTACTCTTTTTGTCCCTTTTTTACTTTCATGCTTTTCTTTTTGGGTATTCTAAAATTACATTTCCCCCTTCCTTTGTTAGAATTTTTTTTTTCTTCCAAATATCCCAAATTATCCTTCTTTTTCTGTTATGTAATTAATGCTCACTCTTACTTTCCTATTCTCACTCCTAAATTTAGATGAATATGATTGGTTCTCAATTTTCTAATAGTAGCATGTTATTGGTCCTTTTTTTTTGGCAAAAGATTGATGACATGGCATCATTAAATATTAATCTATCTTTGTTTTACTCAAAGACATTATTTAATGTTTTGTACTTTTCATTGTGTTTTGTTTCATTGTTATTTTTTTTTCTTAGTTCTTTAATTCCCGTGTAATTTTACAAACAGGAATGTAAAAAAGGGACGGAGGGAGTAATGAATATGAATTATTGTAAAAGAAAAGATAAGATATTAATTAACAATTAATTACATAAATAAATCAACACTAATTCATGATAAATATTAAATGTCTATTCATGATACTTTTTTTAAAAAGTATGAGTAATCTTACTTATGAATAGTGTTAAGACTATTATGCCCCTACAAAATGTTTATTTACGTATTTACCCCTTTTCAATGTATGACTACACTTTAATACTTTATGAATAGTGTTGAGACGATTATATCCCTTAAATATTTATTTACATATTTACTCTCATTAATGTTAATTGTTTTTTTTTTTGGAACTCTTAAAAATAACATGTTAATTGTTTTATTTGGAACTCTTAAGTAACAACCCAAACACTTGCCATTATAAATACCTTTTAATTACCAATTGGCTGTTGGTGTAATGCGTGGTGATTGAGACTATACTTGGTAGGGAGGACTCGTGTTCGATCTCCCGCAACAACAATCGGGAGGGGATTGGAACCTAACCACCCAGAATTGATTCCCGAATCCGGATTAGCCCAAAGGGTGAACCGGGTAGAACACCAAAAAAAAAAAAACCTTCTAATTCATTTCATCTTTAACTCATAATTTCAATTCAAACATTTTTTTCTTCCGAAAAAAATCGGTCCATCGGCTCATCTCAGCCATTTCCATCTTGATTAATGGACAAACTAAAGAAATTTTATATCATAATTTGAATATAAAATGGGTGTTTAATAAGATTTCTCTCTAATGATTCTGATTAAACAATAAAAATCCTAGTAGAAGTGTTCACCTAAAAATGATTTTTGTTAGTCGTAGTTACTAATCACTTTAAAGAAATAGGATAAGAAATATCTCTTAAATAGAGGGCAAATTAAAAAAAAAATCAAGAAAAGGGTATTTTCTAATTCTTGATTTTGATAACTGACTTAACTAACTACAACAACCGAATATTAATCTGTTTGGATATAAGTAGCAACCCCAAACAATACCCTTTACCATTCTAATTCATTTCATCATCAACCTATTATTTCAAACATTCTGTTTTTGCTCCTAATAATCCAACAAAAAACTCCATCCATCTAGAAATTTAGCTTGATTCCATTACAAATCTTTCTTTAGTTCAATTCTGTTTTGCTGTTCATTGTTATTAACTAGTAATGGCGGGTTCGAGTTCAAGCGGAGGAGACGACGATTATACGGTTATGGAGACAGATTCGACAGGGCATTACACAAGGTACAGTAAGCTGATTGATGAAGGCGATCATAAAGAAGTTTATTTGGGATATGACAACATTAATGGCAGAGAAGTTGCTTGGTGTAAGAAATTTCTTAAAGATAATAATATTGTTACTTTGGTTAGAGAAGCTAAGTTGTTGAAGAATTTTGATCATCAAAACATAATCAAATGCTACCATTATTGGGTTGACGGTGAAACCATAGTTGAGTTCAACATGATTACTGAGCTTTATTCTGGGAATTTGAAGAATTACACTCAGAAACATCATGTTAAAGAAAACAGTCCAGCAATCAAGAATTGGTGTCAACAGATTCTGACAGGGCTTGATTTTCTTCACAGTCAAAATGAACCAATTATTCACAATGATATTAAGTGTGAAAACATCTTTGTTGTTGGAAATTCAGGCACGATTAAGCTAGAAGATTTGAGTGTCGCGAAGATTCTTGCACCCAAGAGTAGTCCTCTGTATAAAGTTGATTATAATCGTAGGATGGAGTGGTCTGAGATGTACTGTGTTGGGTTGTGCACACTGCAGATGGTGAATAAGGATGCTGCAGACAGCACATCGCGGATAATGGATATGAGCCTATTGAAAAAGGTACAAGACCGAGGGCTTAGGAGCTTCATTAAGGCGTGTGTTTTTCCTGATGTTGGAACTACAATAACTGATCTCCAGAAAGACCTGTTTCTTGCTCCGAGGACTGCACCTTCTGGCAGCACATCAGTAGCATCTGCTTGGCCTTGGCCTACTATTCAACTGCAGCCTGGTGATATCGTCGACAGAAACACAGCTGCTGCTTTCAACGTTGTAGAGAGAGACTCTACCAACAGATACCTCAGGTTCAGCAAGCCGATAAGTCCAGGAGTGATGAATAAGACGACTCAGGCTTATTATGGATTCGATATCAACAAGGGCAATATTGTGTCATGGGTGACACAGAGATCATTCGATCACCTGATTCAGAATGCTAATCTGTTGAAGAAGTGCGACAATGAGAATTTACTCAAGGTCCGTGACTTTTGGGTTTCTGATAATACATTAGTGCTGATAACCGACTTGTTCTCAGGCAGTATGATGGAGTACATCGATACATTGGGGTTCGATGAAGCCAATCTCATGTTAAAAAAATGGAGCAGGCAGATTCTGAAGGTATTTGGCTACCTTAACTTTTTAGAGCCTAGGATAGTAGTTACCAAATTGAATTGCAACAGTTTGCTCTTTGACGGGGTATCCGGGTGTGTCAAACTGTCAAATTTGTACGAGGCTGTGACTTTTCCTTACCCGCTTGATATCTCTTCATACGAATTGGCCCTAAACGATCAAACACATGCTTTCGGTGCCTGTCTGTTACATATGTCTACGGCCGGTCTTGGCAATTCTGATGTTAGCGACCAAGTAATCAGATAATGTCTATGGATCAAATAATGGAAGAATTAGGTTGATATGTTTGCGTCTTAAGTCTAGTTTAGGTTCATCAGAAAATTTCTATCAAATCTAGGCATGTTAGTGATACTTAGTGTGTCAAGTTTCTTGATTAATTTTCAATTGTTATATGAACATTGGTTTTGCAAATTGTATTTCTTTCTTTATAATTGGTATGAGTATCTTTTACGTATTCAATCCTCGATCTCATCTCGTTACCATCACTACAACATATAAGATCAAAGAGGTAAATCACCATCTTATGTTAAAACTTCACCCTATTAGGCAAAGAGGGCGATTTTAAAATCACCCCTAAATTGCCCTATTAGCTTCGTCCTATTAGCTTCTAAGGGCAACTATAATCTTTCGCCCTTTTTGTTAAAGATCAAAGAAAGCAAAAATTTCGCCGTCTTTGATCAAAATCAAGGAGGATAAAATTTTTCGCTCACTTTGATCAAAATCGAAGAGGACAAAAATTTTCGCCCTCTTTGTTCATTTTTTAGTTTTTTTTAGAAAATAATTCTAGAAGGGTACATTTAGAAAGAAAAAAAAAAGGGTCTTAATAGGCATAAATTCTAATTTTGTCATTATATATACAAAATTATTAACCAAGTTTTTCTAAATAGCAAATAGCTAAGCCAAAGAGTACTAAAATTAAATAATGTTTTTTCTAGGACATGAACTATCAAGCAATCTTCTCATTCTTGCAGGTTCTAGCATCCCCTTTTTTTCCATCTGTAACGCAACACGCCTTTTGGTATCCTCCATCCACAAAACATCAGCAAATTGACTTGATACTGCAAACTTGACAGAAACAGGACATAAACAGTTTCGAGTCCTGTAGGTTAGAATGTGACTGTTAATCCTCTTTCGGAAGAAAGGGGATTGGCAATTTTAGTGTTACAATTTCGGCTTTGAAAGATCAAGGATATATGACAGGCATAGATCAAATGCTAGAGTCAGGGAATATATGATCAGGAAGTTACAATTCACAAAAGTCAAGTTCAAGAATAAGACACTAAAATGGAGTGTTTAATGGACTACTGCAAAAATAACAGCATGCAGAAAAGCATCATTATGAGTTCAAGATTAATGCATAATATGCAGAGCACTCAACAACAGAACATGCAAACTCAACCCTGAGCACCATGTCTTATACCTATTGAATTATATAAGAAGTTGTCAAAGATTCCTCTAACATAATAAGCTAACATAACCCTGGCATGAAAATGCATCCACATGACAATTTTATGTAAAGAGTAAGCTAGTTAATATTACCTCTATCAAGCATCAAGGCCAATCTTCTGCATGAAATACCGAAGCTTTTGGTCTAGGTTATATTGTTTCTTCTTAGACGATTACAATTCAGCTCGCATCATATTATTTTCATTTTATAGTTGTTCCTAGAAAATCACATGCATACATATTACCAAGAAGATAAAAAACAGAAGGATTTCCATTAGAAAAGATAAATGTAGCTGTATATGAAAATATATAAACTGAAGATAAAATGAATACAAGATATAAAGAACTCTCTTCAGGCTACGAGAAACAAGAAGGTTATGAATTCAGTGCACAACTAGGATGAAAAATTAAGGACAAACAGGAGATTAATTCAACTAGGAGTAAGTGTTGCAATCATTATTTGATCAAACTGGGAGAAATTAAAGCAGTTCTCTTGCGACTAACCTATAAATTTCTGCAAAATTCCAGGTTTTACAAGATCTGTATTCAGCAACAATGGCATGTCCATGAAGCATATTGTTTCGTTCTGGATCCGATTACCCGAAAGCTTGAACCCGAGATCCTGATTCCCCTATCGGCAAGCTAAGAACCTACACAATGAGCAGAAGTTAGCTAACCCGGGGTGATCCGGGGATAACCACTCCGATGGTAAAGTTATAATGTGTTTAAGAAAGAAAGAGAAGATAAGTAAGAGAGAGAGAGAAAGTGTGTAATAAATGCTACTACAAATCCCGTGCTTTTGAGACGTTTTTTGGCTATTTTAACGACGTTATAAAAGCGTCGCAAAATATTTTGTCGACGCTTTGGAAAAGCGTCGCAAAATACTGAGTCGAAAATATTGCGACGCTTTTTGGTGACGCAATTGTCGACACTTATAAACGTCTAGAGATTGTGGACGCTTTTTCTGTCGCCATTGTGGACGCTTTTTTATGTCCATATAATATTATTTTTCGTCCCAATTTAATATTCATGCGCCATCTACAAATACTGCGACGCTTTAAGATGTCTAAGTTGTCGACTTTAATTTTTGTCCCAAAACATACTGCGACGCTTTTTGTTGTCCTCTGATAATGGTGGGAAATTTTTTTTAGTCATAATACTTGACAGGAAAAAGCGTCCAGAATTATTTTGTAGGTTTTTTTTTAAAAAAAAAAAATTATATTATTATATATGTGTTTTTACTTTTTGTAATAATTATATAATATTATTTTTAAGGGATAATATATATATATATATATATATAACACATAAAATTTATATTAATTAAAGTTAAAATCAAACAAAAATATTAGCTACATAACTTTATCCAAAATTCCATCCGATCCTAACAACCCCATAAAAAAATCATATATCCTAACAATCCGAACTGTCAATATATACCGTACCATCCTAATAACAACGTACAATATTGCAGCTAAAAAAAAACCCTTAGATTAAAGCTTTGATATTAAAAGCTATATAACTAGCTAGCTAGGAACGATTTAATTAACTACATATGATGCATCAATCCGTAGGTAGTACTGTAGTAGGCTAGTTTCAAGTACGCAGCTCAAGATTCCTTAGCTTTGTTTTCCTGTAGCATTGCATCCATAACCTGAAAAAAACAATAGTTTGCAATATTCGTCTTTTAATTTATCCTATCAAGTATTATTTCAATACATTATTAAAACCCAATAAATATAAGCTGAACATTTGGAGTGTGCTGAAATTTGGAGTACAACAGCCTAATTTACCTGAGTTAACACCCTGCAAAAATGTTGTCATTGTTGATGGTGCATTTGGAGCAAACCCAGATGGAGACGATTCAGCAAAGCCAGTCACAGGACCCTGAAAGAAGATATTTCATGCATTAACACTCTATGGTGGGAGAAAGGAAAAAGATATTTCAGCATAAAGCACTAATATAAAGAAGAAACAGATTGGCATGCAAAGAGAAACAATACACAGGAAATATAAGGAATAAGAATAAAATCTAACAATAGTTAATTCTCTCACCCTTGCCTGATGACAACAAAGATACAACATCAAATGAGTGGCCAATTTGAATGGGACACGTTTTTTTTTATTCATAAACCACCATATTTATATCATTAGAATACTCAGGTTTGACCAATTTATATTGTGCGGCTATAGGACAACAATCTTCACATAGGCTGGGATGTTTCGCCAATTCGGGGATGACGGGCCACATTGCTTTTATAAGCCTGCTAATTTTACATGGTTGTTCTGGGAGAAGCGACTGCAGATGCTCTATTGCAAGATCACCATGGATCAGCATAATGTCTTTCTCGACATTGACAAGTAGACATTTAAAGCCGGGGCGATCAAGGTGAAGGAAGTCGCACAGCAACTTACGATACTTAGAGTCAAACGGTAAAAACATTCTAAAAATAATAAATTCTTTAGATTTTTTGTTTTTTGACTGGAAATTCTTTAGATTCAAAGGACCATAAATATAAAAAAATCATAATAAGTAGATACCTGTTGGTTTCTTTCAAAAAAAAAAAAAAAGATACCTGTTGGTTTGCCACTCCCAAGATTGATTTAGCACAATCCATAAGTCATGTTGAACTCTTTCCTTCACAAACTGCACCAACAACTTGAGAGAATTGTCCAATAAGTGTTTTGAGAAGATTGTTATTCTCTTGTACTTGGTCTTTTAGCTTTTCATTTTCCTTCTCAAGTACTTCATTTTTTTGTTGCAGAGCAGACACTTCTTATTTTACATTATTATCCATACATACAGTCCTTTGTCGAATTTTTCGAGACCCATCCTTCCTTAGCAAAGCATGCACCCCATAAATGTCATTCTTCCGAACCCCTAGTCCGTAACCTATAGGACGATCAGGGATTTCTCCACCATGCATAGTTTGTTCAAAGGCTTCATCTTCGAGCTCCTGTTGAGACTTAGAAGGGTATAACATCCTCAACTCTTCAACCTTGGCTTTTGCATCATCCTACATAAAATTTAAGATAATAATGTAATAACAGAACATCATTACTACATAAAGTATTTGGCTTAACAAAACTTAGTTAGATATTTTACCACAAAATCTTCAGTGACTGTGCCTGGAAGAAAGCTTCCATCCTTTCCTGTATGAGCTTGTATCCAGAGAGCTAATAAGCTCATTTTTTCTCCATGCTCATCTTCCTATAAGTAATAATGTATCAAGATTTAATTCAAATATGAGGAATAAAGTACCATAATCAATCGATAACAAAAGAGTTTAATACTTATTATGCATGGTAATTAATACTATTATTTCATACATAATCGGCTTGTCGGTTTGCAAAACTTTTACAACCAGATCTATGTAATTGATTTAGGTTGGCTCTTACTGCTTTTCCACATGCTCCTAGTGTCTGCACTCACATTCAAAGAGTTGTAAATAAAATAATTAGATGCATATAATAAATAAGAATCACACATACATAATTAGACAGTGGTATACTAATCATCAGTTTACTTATTATTTTATTCCTGAACAAGACATATGATGCAAGACATAATATTCAAGTAATTAATACAATGTTGATGATCATTAGAAATTAATGCATAAATATAGATTCATGAAATCAAACAGTAAAATTTACTTACTTTTCCTGTCTCTGAATCCCAATACTTAAGTAGCTTTACCCAATTTTGACTACTAATCCCATGCGGTGGTGCAGCGTTACACATCTCTTCTAAACTTTTTTCTTCTGGTTTGTAGTGATCCCTCTTAAGAGTGAATTTGTGTTGCCTCCAAATTTTATTAACATGCTTGAGGGCTGCTTTGTCATATAGTTCACCTTCGGGAATTACAAAGCGATCCTTATGCATGAAAAACAAATAATTCAAGTAAGAATGGTTACAAGTTAATAAATATATGAATCTATCTATTAATAATTCAAGTAAGAATGGTTACACATACTCTTATTCTGTAATTATCTTCTTTTTAAAATGGTTATCAAGAGCATGCCAATTCAACTCTCTTAGCGGACAATATATCTCCATCTTTGCAATACTACCAAGGAATCGGATCAAAATATGTCCACCTTTCCGAATGGGTTGGTATAAATCATTAAATTCAACATAGAATCTGACACCATTATTACTCCAGACATCAATTGGCTGAATATAACCACTCAACAGTACAATATGACCATTTGCATCTGCATAAAGGAATAGGAATTATAATTTGAGTAAATGTATGCTTTTAAGATGACATATGCATGATAAGAATAAAGTGTACAAATAAATAGATAAGAATATAGTGAACATACCTATTGTCATAACCTCTTCCTTGTCATCAAAATCTATAAACGTAGGCCAATCAGGATGAGACTTCGACCGCAAAGATTTCAATGGTTTTGAGCCTTTTTCTGATGCTTCATTATGACCAACATCATGTTGTTCTTCTCTTTTCTCACGTAAATTATGTGAGTTTGAGTTAGCAGCAGGGTATTTAAGGGGCTGGTAAGAATTAGGAGAAGTAGAAGGGTTTGAGTTAGTAGCAGGGTATTTAAGGGGCTGCTCAGAATTAGGAGAAGAAGTAGAAGGCTTTGAGTTAGTAACAGGGTATTTAAGGGGCTGGTTAGAATTAGGAGAAGAAGTAGAAGGCTTTGAGTTAGTAACAGGGTATTTAAGGGGTTGGTCAGAATTAGGAGAAGAATTAGACGGGTATTTCAAAGGTTTTGAAGCCATAGAATATGGGATGTTAGGTGAGCTAACGGATGAAAGAGTGGATGACTTTTTTCCTTCATAACCTGATGGTAAATTAGGTACCTTATGTGAACTAGAAGCTGGTGAGTTGGATGATGATGGTACTTTGGGTGGTAATGCCTCTGGTGCCTTACATGAGCTGGTTGCTAATGATGATACACTTAGTGAGGTTGTTGTTGGTGCCTTTAGTGAGCTTGCTGATGAACCAGTTGGTGGATTTTTCCATACAGGTCCAACTTTGTTTTCATTAGGAGGTTGTTGGGCACTCTTTAATGTGTTAACATAGGGAGCCACAACCTTGGATGTAGTACCGGTTGGTGGAGAAAATGGCCCCCATTTAATAGTCGTGGGAACTTGGGACGTTTGCTCAGTAGCATACTTTTTTGTTGGTTGTGATGCATCTTCACTCATAGATGTAGGGGGTGCAGTAGATGCAACTCTCTCTCTCTTCTTTCAATAAGTCATCTCCTGCATGACAAGTAACACATGATTATGCTCAGTATATAAACTCATGTTATGCATATCTAGGTAACATATAAAAGAAAAAGTATACAGAACAAGATCAAAGTCACATCAATCATTAAATAAGGCAGCATTTATGTACAAGATAAATATTATAAGTTATGTCGCATAAAGACCATCAACATCTCTTCAAAAAATCTTCACAAATCAGAATATATATTTAAATAAAATCCATAATTAAATAATGAATAGATGTTTAAAACAAATCCAAAAGCTAATAATGAACTTATACGATCAACCACAATGTAATATTCTCAAATGAAATATAATGTCATTCTAAGAGAGCTCTTCATCATCGGGTATATCAAACAAGTCTCTAGGTTTAGTTTTAATAACATGAAGCCATCCTTTTTTAATCTGATCTTCAATGTAAAAAACTTGTTTGTTTGGCTTGAGACGAAAAAATAAATGGATCATCTTGCAAATTCCGACCAGTGTGCATTATCTTTGAAAAATTGACACAAACTCCACCATTTGGGTATGTTTTAACACCCTTATGCACATCAACCCAATCACAACGAAACATTATAGCCTTGAAAGACCCATAATAGTCAAATTCCAATATTTCGTTGAGCTTTCCATAATACTCTTGGCCTTCGGCTTCAATCATAACTCCAGAATTTTGTGTCTTTTGAAATCTCTCACGATCCACGGTATCAAATTTGTAGCCATTAATCACCACACTTTTCATCTTTTTTACCCGCTTACTTAAACACCAACTAGGACTTTCTCAATTTCCTTCTGTTGTGCTATCATCTAGGTTATGGACCTAGAATTATGAAAGAATTAAGTTACACATTGATGGGTAATAGATGTTAAGTAATTATATAAGACAAATTTTCAACATTTTAAAAGCATATAACCTGATTTTGCAACCAATCGGCGAATTCTTTGATTATCCACTGGCTTTCGATATATTCATTCGATTGACTTCTTCCGACTTGATTCTCTTGTTGTCGTTTTTGTTGTATGAACTCACTTTTCAGATTGAAAAATTGTGTCAATACCATGAGAATAAGTGAATATACTATAAAATTACCCATAATATATACTACTTACTCAAGAACTGGTTTCATCTCATCTGAATGCAGCAATATGTAGCGATGTGCTTGCATTAAACTTCTGTCATCAAGACGTACATTTTCTTTCTTTCCAATTACACGACCACCGGAATTGAATATATAGTTATTAATATTTGGAACACCATCCTCATTCCTTTTTGGTCTACTGAACACCGTCTCAACACTTTCTAAATATCTTGAGCAAAATGTAATTGTCTCCCATAAAAGGAACCCTTCTGCTATAGATCCTTCAGGTTGTGCTTTATTACTTACATGTGATTTCAGAAAGGCCAAATACCTTAGAAAATACCAAAGAATATGTATGTTAGTGTATACTATAAAAAGATGACTAAGACATGTAAAATATCCTTATATAAGGGTGAAGATTAAGATATATGTATTCACCTTTCAATGGGATACATCCATCTGTAATGAACAGGTCCGCCGAGTTTAACCTCATCCACCAAATGAATAAGCAAATGAACCATGATGGTGAAAAAATTTGGTAGAAACTCTTTTTCCATTTTGCACAGAGTTAATACAAGCTTCGTCTAAATGGAATCTAATTCTTTACTATCAACAGCGGGTGAACAAATCTTCTTGAAAAAGTATGACAACTCCTCAAGCAAGTCAATAACTTTTGTGGCATTCGCTGCTCTTAAGGCAACAGGAAGGATATCTGGCATAAGGATGTGGTTGTCGTGGCTTTTCAAGTTAATAAGTTTTCGCTGCTTCAAATTGACACATTTTTGTAAATTAGACCCATATCCATCGGGAACTCTAAGTCGTTTTTAATACTTTTAGAAATCGTTCTTTCTCTTCATTAGACATGTTGTATGCAGCTGGAGGCATATATTTTTGAACCCGATTAGGATTAGATTGTAGCCAAAGATTAGATTTTATGTTTAGTTTCTCAAGAGCCTTTCTAGCTTCCGCATCATCTCTACTTTTCTCCATATCTAAAAGAGTTCCTAAAATATTGTCACACACATTCTTTTCAATGTGCATGACATCTAAATTATGTCTAAGAAGATTATGTTCCCAATATTCCAATTCAAAAAAAGCACTCTTCTTCTTCCATTGAACATTATCATCTTGATCATCATCATCATCATCATCGTTTTTTCTTTTTTTAGAATCTTTTTTTGAGCTTCCATAAACGTATTTAACCCTTTCATGCTGCTTTAAAATTTCAGTCCCACTTAAGGGAATTGGAGCAACACCATACTCCTTTGTCCCATCAAATAAATGAGCTTCCGAGCGATAAGGATGATTAATTGGCAACCATTTTCGATGTCCAGGATAAACAATTTTACCACCAAATCTATACGCATAAGTAGAATGGGCACAAGAAGGGCAAGCTTTATAACCTCTGGTACTCCATCCCGACAACATAGCATATGCTGGGAAGTCATTTATTGTGGAGTGTAGGGCTGCTTGCAACTTAAAGTTTTCTCTACTATAAGCATCAAAGGCATGTACACCTTTCCACAACAATTTCAACTCATGGATTAATGGTTGCAAGTATACATCAATATCAATACCAGGACTATATTTACCTGGAATAATCAAGGAAAAAATAAAAGACGATGACTTCATGCAAATCCATGGGGGAAGATTGTAAGGAATCAAGACCACCGGCCATGTACTATAATTAGTATTCATTAGACGGTATGGGTTAAAACCATCACTAGCTAAACCCAATCTCACACTACAAGGGTCAGCAAAAAATTCCTTATATTTTTTGATCAAATTTTTTCCAAGCCTCACCATCTGCCGGGTGCCTTAGAATCATATCATCTGCACGACCAAAATGCCATCTCATATCTTCTGCTGTTTTAGAAGACATGTAAAGCCTCTTCAATCTAGGTATGAGAGGAAAATATCGCATCACTTTAGCTGGCTCACCTTTCTTAAATGTTTCTTTCCCTTTCTCAATTGTCTCACCCTCCATCCCATTCACAGTTTTCCACCTTGATGTATTACATTTATGACATTCTGTTTCATCAGCAAACTCACCCCAATATAACATGCAATTATTTGGACATGCATGGATTTTCTCGTATCCTAATCCCAAGTCCTTGATTATCTTCATGCCTTCATAGTAAGACAATGGAAACTCTTTGATTAGAGGAAATGCATCATTTAGAAGTTCAAGCAACTTATTAAATGACTCGGCAGACCAATGAAACATACACTTAAGGTGAAATAAGTGTAATAGAAATGATAACTTTGAGAAAGCAGTACACCCCACATATAAACCCTCATTAGAAGCTTCCATAAGACGTTTGTACTTTGCCACTTCTTAATCGGAGTTAGTTGAAGGAATTTCTTCATCTACCTCATAATTAAAATTAAACTCTTCATGCATCATGTCATCTGATCCTTCGTTTTCAAAATCTGATTCACTTAATGATGGGCCCTGGAATTCAGTAGTGAACTGTGGATTGCGGACCCCAAAAGCTTCTCTTAGTAGCCCATCCATATCATCTTGAGCTACTTCCTTCCCATGATCACTAAGGGGCTTTAAGGTGTTACTCCCTTCACCCTCATAATGGAAAATCCAATCTGTATAATTCCTATAGAAACTGTTACAAAGAATGTGGCCTCCTACTTCATCTATAGGATACCATTTATTTATCTTACACTTATTGCATGGGCATCGAGTTTTTCCTTCTACAAGACTCTTCTTAGCAAGCTCTAAGAATTTCATGCAACCGTTATAATAGTAGAGTTGCCTTTTCGTAAATCAATCCAAAACTAGTATCCAAACTATCCATATCTACAGCGAAATATATAATTTATAATGATTATTAATGAGTATTAGATAATACAAAACACTTAAACCACTTAGATCTATAATAATTCACCTCGTATACTTATTTTAGATTTCACATTAAAAAAACATGGCTTGTATAAACTCAGTAAGGAGATATTTGAAAGATTTCATAAGCTACCAATAATAAGCCATCATTCATCATTTGGTAAAATCTTATCTATATTATTATATTTTATAAATTTTTTAATTAAAAAAGTATAAGTGATAAATTAAACCCTACATATGCAAACAAGTAATTGATTCTAGGAGGGCAATGATGTAATAAAACTTTTATAAAACCAAAAATAGTGTAGTTAAACTATCTAGGAGGGCAATCTATTGTTATATAACACATTAAATGACATATAAAATTATACACAACATATAACATAATAAAGATTTTGAATAATTACCTCTTGAGTGCAGCAAATTAAATACCACAAGCTCTGCTAATTAATTCACGAACTATTTTTTGACAAGCTCCTCCCCTTTCACCTAGAAACCACAATAACGACAATGTGACTTTAATTTCATACTTGGCATAGTCTGCACACTCTTATAGTTGTACAAATGTGCGACAATAACTTATATATACGGAGTATTATACAATATCTTCACATTTAAATATATCTTAGCAAAGGAGGATTAGTCATTCAGATGAAGATGCTATAGAGAAAATTAGTTAAGTAACATGCAACTTGACAGATGCTTCTTAAGGTGACAGATGCTTAACTACTTTAAAATTTACAAACAATACAGTACCAATAGCTAGCTTCTTCAGAAATAGAAATAAAAAAACATGACAAATATACCAAGTAAAATCAAAATTATAATCTTTATTGATATAATCATACATTAATCTAGATTATAATGAGCAAAACACAACAATTATACCTTATAAGTTACAAAACCCAACATCAAATACAAATACAATCAAAAATTTTAATTTTTTTTGGCAGGGGGATCAAGGGGAGAACAAACCTCATATGATAATCAAGTAAATATTGATGAATAATCACTTAAACTCTAAACGTCTTATAATAAAAAGAGTGGTGAACATTATATCTCTATAAACAACTTCCAACCAACAACCCCCAAATAAGTTAAAATTTGCAAAATAAAATACAAAAACTAGAAAAATAAACATAATCTGACTTTCAATGTCAAATCCATCCAAACCCAAAAAATTTCGTAGAGATACATCTTAAATAATCAGATTGAAAGTTAGGTTTAAATTAGATTGAAAGTCTATTAGATACCTCTTAATTAATCAGATAGTATTACGTATCTAATTCAAGTATTGTTAAAAAATTACCCATCAAAATGACCATAAAGAAAGAGGAATTTAATTGATTACAATCTGATTATGATCGTTCGTATCTTCTACACTGTCCAGAAACCTCAATAGCAAACGCAATTCCCAGAACATCGAACATGCAATGAAAAAACAGAGCAATTTTGAATAAGATATCAACATTAAGCAACCAAATTCAATTATAAACTAAATTAAAGCAACGAGATTGTTAACAAGAGCAAGGAGATTACCAAAAAAGGATGAAATCGCTGCGGGGAAGAACGAAATCCAACAATTTCAAGCCAAATTAACAAAATTTCTAGCGGTTTGGGAGATTCGATCGTATGAGGATGATAGTAGATTATGAAAATTAAGGTTTCGTTGTGTGAGAAATTGAGAATTAAAGGGTTTTTTTTTTACTCGGTATCAATTTGCTCTACTAGTAGCCTGTATGAGTGAAAAATGGTTTTTTAATTTTAATTAAACCCTAAGGCAGCTAAAATTGTAGCCCGCTTATTTTTTTTACTAAAAATTTGAAGTCCCGGGCTAGATTAACAAGTCACGTGCAGGGCACGTTATTTCAGGACGCTTTTTTATGTCACAATATACCTACAATGCACAAAAGCGTCTTAAAAACAAGGAACACTAAAATCTACACTAACGCTTGATACCCGGCGTCGACCCAATTGCGTCTCCAAAAGTAAGGGATTTGTAGTAGTCGCTTACCATTTAATGGAGCTTAACCTACTATTTATAATAAATCTCATGATAGGTGGCTCCAAAGCATGCAAAGCTTTTCTTGCCAAGTGTCAAGCTACCGCTGCCACGTGTTAAGTGCCGACAAGCCGATATGTCTACTTTATGAATTATATCAGCCCATCTGTCAGTTATGTTGGATTCATACCCATATTTATGAGGATGTCGGCCCGTTTCACATATCATCCCATACAACTAGCCCCCCAAGTGAGGACGTTTGATTATAGATCGACGTTCTCACTTTGAAGATGTTGAACAAATTTCGTGTTCAGGTTTGTTATTGAAGAACTCGGGCGTAAATATTTCCATCCTTAACTATGATGATAAGTTCAGGATTTCTTTTCTCTAGAATTGAAATACAATCTAGACAGAGTTGTTATAGTAATTATGTTTCTTGCGCTCTGTGGAGCGTTTTGCCTAAATTATGCACTGTAATACTTAGAATGACTTCTTGGAAGTTGCATTTTAATATTGATTTAAATTTCTTGGTTATACGCTTACCGTTGTATTTATCAGATGAGAAAAAACTTCGTTTTCCTCCCAAGTGACCTTGTGTGCCGATAGGACGCAAGGTCTACTTAATAAACGAGCTGGGGGCGAAAAACTCCGTTTTTCCCCCCAAGTGACCTTGTGTACCGATAGGACACAAGGTCTACTTAATAAATGAGCTGGGGGCGAAAAACTCTGTTTTCCCCCCAAGTGACCTTGTGTACCGATAGGACACAAGGTCTACTTAATTAATAATGAGCTGGGGGCAAAAAACTCCGTTTTCCCCCCAAGTGACCTTGTGTACCGATAGGACACAAGCTAAGGTCTACTTAATAAATGAGCTGGGGGCGAAAAACTTCGTTTTCCCCCTAAGTGACCTTGTGTACCGATAGGACACAAGGTCTACTTAATAAATGAGCTGGGGGCGAAAAACTCTGTTTTCCCCCCAAGTGACCTTGTGTACCGATAGGACACAAGGTCTACTTAATTAATAAATGAGCTGGGGGCGAAAAACTCCGTTTTCCCCCCAAGTGACCTTGTGTACCGATAGGACACAAGCTAAGGTCTACTTAATAAATGAGCTGGGGGCGAAAAACTCCGTTTTCCCCCTAAGTGACCTTGTGTACCGATAGGACACAAGGTCTACTTAATAATACGCAGTCGTTTAGGAGATGAAACGTTTATTAGGTTTTTTTTTTATTTTTTTTTATTTTTTTAGAAAGAGAGGGAAACATGGGTTGGGGTAGGACACGTGTTGCTAATCTAACAGTTTCATATTTTAATTTTTAAAATTCCCCTTACCGTTGGAGACTAAATCGTCACATCAATCGTCTCCTTATGTAAATACCCTCCATTTCATTTTTACACTTTACTTTCAAATACAAAATAAGAGAAAAAACGGTTTAAAAGAGGGAATTTCAAGGAGAAGGGGTTTTCATCTTCACTTTCGTTACTACCATATCAGAGCAACCGCTGGTGTTTCAATTTCTTCTTGAGCGTAGTCAAGTTACTGAGGCACTGCACTGTTGGCGAATAGCTTTAAGGTATTTATAAATTTTAATTAATATATATACATACTTTTTTTTTAGAACTTGCATGTTTCGCACTTCGCTTGTTTTTTTTTATATCCCCCAATTTTCTAGGTTAAGGTATTAAATGTCCAATAGTAGTACTGAGGAAGAATTACCTACCCTTAGCACTGTTAGGTAGACCTGGCAATCCTGACCCATGACCCGATGACCCGACCCATGACCCAAAATCGACCCGAAACCAGTGACCCGATATTGACCCAAAACCCGGATTAACCCGACCCGACCCATACCCGACCCGAAGTGGAACTGACCCGACCTTGACCCGAAACCCAAAATGACCCAACCCGAAACGACCCGACCCGAAGTTGACCCGAGACCCGAAACGACCTGACCCGAAGTTGACCCGAGACCCAAAGTTGACCCGACCCGAAAATGACCCGACCTTTAACTTCTTTTAGTAAATAATTTTATAAGTTATAAAAAGTTTATATTAGGAAATTATACATTAAAATAGACCCAACAACATCTTACATGACTACATTGACTTTCATATAATAGCTAAAAAAAGATGGTCAAAAGTGAGACGTGTGAATAGTGTAAAATGTCAAATCGTTAAGAATAATTTGGGACGGAGGGAGGATAAGAATAATTCAAAGAAACTATTACAACAATGACAATGATAATAAGAGTACGTATTAAAACTAAGATCAATAAGAGAGTGAGGTATAACTCAATTAGTTAGAGCATCCCTCTTAGTTTTAGGAGATCCTAAAGTGATTTTCAGTCTAAACACACACCCACAAAAAAAAAAAAAAGGCAAACAATTACTATAATCCATGAAAAATACAGCCTTAATAAATATAGTGAGTTTTTCGTCAAAAAATAAATAAATAAATTTATATACATAGTTGAATTTAACCCAATGAATCACCCCAATATGACTCGACTCGAAGTTGACCCGACCCGAAGTTGACCCGACTCAAAAATTGACCCGACCCAAATTGATCCGACCCGAACTCGACCCGAAATGTTGACCCGATACCCGACCCGACCCGATTATTAGTCGACCCGAAATCAACCCGAAACCCGAAATGACCCGACCCGACCCGAACTTGACCCGATAACCTTCTGACCCGAACTTGACCCGACCCGAATGACCCGACCCATACCCGACCTGAATGACCCATTTTCCAGGTCTACTGTTAGGCGCCGCCTTATTAGACAATCGTTAGGGAAGGATCTTGGCCGATCAGGGGGAACTGCCTCTTCCCTTTCTTACAATATTGACGATCCATTTCAGCCGCTATCCCCATAGGAACAAAAGAAAGCCTTTTACCGTCATAAATTGTTAGCCGACTGTGAGAAGGCTACTCGTCCCACTAACCCTAGCTTGGAACGTGTGTTTAGTTCAGATAACCCCCCAACTATTCGTGCCGTTAGTGCCCTTGTGTGGGTTATGTTATATAGAAATTTCCATTTAACACTTAACGCTTTTCGGAAGCTTATGACCCTGAAGAGAGATGGTCAGTCAGAGGGGTGGTGGTCTTTGTATACTGCTTCTCGTAAATATACAGTTCATCCCAAGTTATCTAGCTGTAAAGGGTGGCAAGAAAAGTTTTTCTTTGTATCTGCTCTTGATGAATTCCCTATTCGAAGAACTTTTTATCAGCCTCACCCTCGATTTGACACAATTCCTGAGAGGGAACTTGGCCGTCATGAACTGAGCGAGGGCTGTCAGCCATTTTGATATTATCGAGTCCGAGGATGATAAGGGTAGGTCCCGCCTTGCTCCAAAAGTGTGGGTACCTAACGTGGGGTACATTCTCGGCAACGCCCCTCTTTCACATGTCGGTCTATGCTGGATTGATCGTTATGGTACTAATCTACCATTATCACTTAATTTTTATATTCTCCGCCGTTTTATATATCAGCATTATTATCTTGAAATTTTTTTTTAAATCAGGATTATTTGTTTTTCCTCACTAGGTGTTGATAAGTTGGACGACAAACAACTAGGGTTGTCTGCTGACGGGAAGAGAGTCATTCGAAGGTGCCCCAGAGCTCCCAGCTCCAGTTACGACACACTTGCTTCTTATTGCAGCCGTGCCTCTCCGGTTAATTCGAAAAGAAAAGCTGAAAAAATGGCCGACGATAAGTAAAAAAAGAGAAAGCTGACTACACTAAGAAATCGCCGGGTTGGGAATGTCGGAGTTGTCAACCCTAGACAGTCTGACACTCGAACTGAAAAGAAATCAAAGGAGGACGACAACCAGGCCAAGCATTCTTCTCCGTCTTCAAAGCCAACTGATGTTGAAGACTGTAGGGAATAATTTCAAGCTTTAATCCCACTAGCTTGAACCCCACTGTGATCATACACTAAAGTACGGTGGCGTCCAAAAGGGAAGAAGATAGAGCAAAAGAGTCGCCAACAAGTTTTTTAGGAACTTGTAAACCGTTCATAGGATGAAGGTTACACCCCTTAACGATCCAAGAGATCGTCAACTCCATAAGGTCTAGAACCAAATAAGGGTTCGGGGATGATGGTACAAATCCATCCTAAAAGAGATTGAACCTGCACTAATAATAGGCCTCTACTTTATTCTGATCGTATTCATGTGCGCTTTCTGACTAACATGCAATCAATAGGATTAACCCTAAACCTGTTTAATCTATGTTGGTTGAATATTAATGCACTAATAAATCTATTATTGGCGATCACTTGAAATATAATCATAGTAACCCTAAACAAGATTAATAATTATCTTATTAAGCGTGATTACAAGTACCAATTCCCTTTAAACATGCATAAAGGCGTGATCAAGCAATAAAATATCAAGCAACATGATAAATTAATTATGATCATGAATAATAATTATAAATAAAATAATCATCATCAAAATAATAATAATATTCATAATCATCATAAATTATAACATTTATAAACATAATCATATTCATGTTAATATTAAAGCATAATAAAAATAGCAAGATCCTAGGCATGATATTAACAAGATTAATAACAAACCCTAGCATGTCACTAAGCATTAAAAATCAAATCTTTAACCCTAACATGATACTAACAATCATAAATATTAGGAAGAACATAGGAAGCATCGCAACAATCATATTTAATATTAAAATTACCCTAGACATGATACTAGGAATATCATAATAACAATCTAAACATGATTTCTACATCATAACATCAATAAAAACCATTAAAGTACTTACTTTGATGCCTCGTACCTCTTTCTAATAACAAAATACACACGTTAGTAACT